ATATTAAAAATGCGAATGTTTAGATAGATGGATGTTTGTTTGAAGGTATCTCCTGAACCGCTGAACGGATCTCACTGGAATTTGGCATAGATGTAGAACATTGCCCGGAAGAACACATAGGCTACTTATTAACATTTTTTAAAATCCGCGCGGACAGAGTCACGGACGACAGCTAGTGTTTTAAATAAATTGCTTCAATTAGTTTGCACCAGTGAAAAAATTGGCCCATTCAAAGCTAGAGTACTAAAGAAATTAGCAGGAAAAAAACTAATAGAATTTCCAAAAACTACTGACCGCATAAAAGATGTTTTAAAATCCTTTGGTTGTAATATTTATTTTTAGTAAATATACATTACTAGCTGTCGCCCGTGAGTATGTCCGTGCAGAATTAAAAAGAAAACATAATTAGTGGCTTATGTTCTCTTCCAGACCATATTCTATATGTATGCTAAATTTTATCGAGATCTATTCAACCGTTCTGGAGATATCTTCAAACATCCATCCATCTAAACTTTCGCATTTATAATATTAATAAGGTTTTAATTATTTTGCTACATTTAGGTTTTACTTTTATTTTGTATACATACGTATACACCCCTAGCTTAGGGTAGGCTTCGAGGCCCTCGGTGGGGACATATAGTGAGCTGATGATGATGAAAAGTTGTAATAAGGTAACAAACTAACTAAACTAAATGTTTTGTGACGTTATAAAAAGAATTGCGTTTGCAATAAGCCACGCGTTGCGATAAAAATAACTGCCTGTTTAGTTTTAACATGACTTTTACGTGAGCTTTCCGTCTTTTACAGCTATTGTTCCAATCTTGCTCAGTTGCAACGTAATTGCTGTATCTCTAGTTAACTTCGTTTTATTCAAAGATAATGAAAGGGATAGAAAAAGGTTTTTTGTTCAAGTTTCGGCAGTGTAAACTCGAGGTTACATAGACACTGTCGTAAGAAAGTGAAAGTGTAGTCATTGAACTGTTAGGACATAAAAGATTTAAAAAAAACTTACAAGACTGACCAGAAAAACATACACATTTTTCGACTTGACAGAAATTTTACCGGTATTCTTAATTCGAATAAGAACTAAATTTATTCTTTGCTTTTAAATTTCTAATTTTCTTCGGCACAATTTATTTAGCTGTTAATTATAGAGGCTGGAGTTAAAATTGATGTCAGACGTTTCAAAGTATAGGTTCCTTTAAGTCTGTGGCAATGATTCACAGGGCGCGTCGCGTGACTTGCTTAGTAATGACAGCTCAATACTGTGATCCTTTGTCTTTCCTATTGGCATTGCGGTTTGAATTTATAGTCATAATAGTTACTAGCTAAGGTTTTCCGCATGCCTTTTCTAATATTGTCATCGTGACATACTTTAAAAAATATGTACCAACAAAAAATCATAAGAAACTCATATAAACTGACGTATGTTCGTCTGGTGGCGGCACCGACTAGTTTCGAGACCATCGGTGACAAGGAGCGATGGGCCGCGTCTGCGAAATAATACCAGTCACACTCACCTTGATGAAGGGCCACCGATGGTCTTGAAATTAGTCGGTGCCGCCACCGGACGAATATATTATACGTGAGTGTTTTAGCCGTTTTTATATAAGTTTATAATAATGTCTCACGAAAGTTGGATTTTTTTTTCTTTAGCATAATTGTATAGTAGATAGGTAACGAAACAAAAACCATTATTCAACACCATTTATATTAAAATTTAATTTTTACATTATAAAAAGACAAAAAGTTATTAAACAAAGGTCTCGTAATAACAAATGACTTCCCTTAAAAAGACGTGAAGGATGTAATGAAACTTAAAAATGACCCTTTTTGTAAACTTTGAGCCTAACATCTACTTTACGGCTTAACTTTTGTATTTTCAGGATGTATTCCTCTTGTTTCTGTTTAAAAAATACTGTTGAGCAAACTTTAATCTAGTTGGAACTTTAATTAAAGTTATAGCTGTTTTTATTTTGACGATAAGATAACTTAGGAACTTGGCAAAAAAAATCGAGTCGATCTGGTAGTAGTTTAACACGAAATAATTTGTTCATTTTCATTTTGTTATTCATAGAAAAATTGCATGTCAATAATGACATATGGGGAAAGCATCATAATCTTTGAAAAAAAAAAAAGAAAATTTCATAGTATTATATAAAAAAAGAACGTCAATAAAGTGTACTACAAAGTGTATACGGAGGTTTATTAAAATGGAAATGTGTTAATTAAAATTAATTAAATATATATTTTTTTATATTATACACCGTACGTCGATGTGGTCGTGACTAAACCTAGTTAAGATTCAGATCTCGCGTCCGCTTCGACCGTTCATACTAAATACGTGCCATTTAGCTTGTAGCTGACCAGATAACCGTCGGTTAAGCGCTGGGCGTTTTGTTTTATCATTGTTAACGAGCGCCCTCCCTTATCGCGAGTGCATTCCGCTTACAACAGAAACTTTCGCCGCGGTACTAACACGACTTTTGTTTAAGCGATGTAAGATTAAAAGCTAGTAACAAAGTAGGTTTGTTAAGGTATGTTTAACATGGATGTGGAGGGGTACACTGGTAGAGGTAGGCCTTGGAAGAGATAGATCGGATTGCGTGAAAGGTATAAAGGATATGATTAAGAAGATGGTGACGACCGAGATGACGCCAGATAAATTGATTTGGAGGATTTAAACCTGATGCGCAGACCCTAGGTAAGTAGGACAAGAGATATGATGATGAACAAAGTAGGATTGTTTGTCGAAGCTCAACGGTTAAAAGTCTGTTTTAAGATCTGACGATCAAGGTTCGAATTTCAGTTCATTTTACGTAAAAAACAATTGGGGCATTGAAAGTAGTATGATTCTAATATTTTTATCGGATACTTTCACATTAGTTCAGCTTACTAAGTATGTAATTACTATGGTTGAAAAAAAATGTCAAAAATACATTAAATCTAATATATCACGTTATTATAATGTCTAAATTATGATATTCAAGTAAACTGCCTACAGTGACCTTTGAAATGGAACATTGTAATGCTTTGTGTTCCGACATAGACAGAAAAAATGTTTATAAAAGCGTCACAAGAAAAAAGAAATTAATAAAAATTTTATAGTGAATATTAGAGGGCTTGGGAAAGTTTTGTTATTATTATATAATTTTATTTGTACAAAAATATCTGCGAACTATGTAAATTTCATAATTATTTCTTACAAGTATTCTTAATACGTTTTTGGTTATAATCAAATGGCACAAATCCACGACCGCGAATACCCTTAAATTTTAGGTTAATGGCGCTTTAATTCAAAATCTTCTTTTAATCATGAAACAAAAAAGGTCAATACAACCAGAATAGTAGATGCAAGTGAGCGCTAAAATGTTCATCAATGGTAAAATGAAAGATACAGGTGAGAGTATTGCAAATGAGTTTCTCTTAGTACTAGTCAGTTGAGCTTCCATTTCTTTTTATAGCTGGCAGCTATTTGAAAAATTGCACGTCAATCGACCACTTCCCCGGTCATAAACGGTCAGCCGCTCCTCTGCCTTTGGTTCTTTATAAAAAAGTGCACTTTTGCGGTACGAAATCATTCAGAAGCGAATACGTTCGTAAGTTGCCTTTTATTTAACTTTCCATAGACATTTTGATGGATCTCAAATGGTTTTGAAATTGCATAGATTAAGTATACATAAGTCTCCAATCTATATATATACAAAAGAAAGTCGTGTTAGTTACACTATTTATAACTCAAGAACAGCTTTACCGATGTAGCTTAGAGCCAGGAGACGGACATAGGATACTTTTTTTTATATATCATAAGGTGGCAAACGAGCGAGCGGCCACCTGAAATCGCTGAAGTAGCGAACTGACCGTTGCCCATAGACGTACGCAATTGCATATGCGTTGCCTACCTTTAATCGACGGAGGAGAGGATGCACAGAAAGAAAATATTTTCCCTTCCCATGCATCCTCTCATCCGGAAAGTCCACTTCCACTTCCCATCCTTTCTTTATAAGAAAAAGGGCGGGAAGGGAAAAAGGACTAAATTAGGCCTCCGGGACGCATCAGACGAAACGCGGAATTACTTCCACTTCACGTCCGTCATCTGTGTGGTCGTGGTATTTCACCGGGTGAGCCGGGCCGATTCGTGCGAAGATGTTAAAGCGGGCTCTACCACTGTTAAATTTATGCCTTGAAGAGGTGCTTTTGATTTAAATTATCTATACATTAAATTTTATATACATCCACGAGGACGGAGTCGCGTTTGCTAGTTTTTAATAAAGTGCATATAATCGTTTGAGTCTTTCCCCAATGGACCAATGAATATTATATTTTCAATATAAGACCACATTTAGAGTACTGAAAATGTAATGTTAGTGAAAAAACAGCTTTTATATGGGGTCGAATTCAGTTGGAGTCATGTCTGGGGAGTTGGGAGATTAATGTCAGTGCCGTGTGTCCGAAATGTTTCTATCGCTTTTAGAAACGGTTACGTTGTTCTGTTGTTTTATTTAAAAAACAAATGTTTTATTTTTAAAATGTTGTACTATATTATTTGCGACCAGTTGTTTTTTGGGTTTTGACTTTCGAATGTCATTTATGTAATTATATTGTTATCCCAGTCATTCTCTTTGAAACTATAGAGATAGCAATATACAATGTTGTTAATAAAAGTTTTCAATTGAACAATATTTTATCATTAAGCTGCGATTAATTATAGGTTTATCCCATACGAGTACTGGTCTTGGTTTACAAGACACTACATCTAATCAAATTGCTTGGATTACAAGATTTATTACTAAGACAAAAACACTAATAATCTTGTTATTTTGAACTTTATAAAGATGAAATGATTTAATTGTATTTACTTTGTACCAATAAAATGATCCTTTTATTGTCAAAATCGGTTCAATAGTTTAGGTTTTTATGAAGTACACATGTGCAAAAAACACAATTTTTTTATCTACTCAGGTTTAATTTTTCGCAAGCTTCAGACATGAATTTAGTACCTTGTTATCCTTCTGCCAGGAGCAGATTCCCTTCTTGTCGGATATCCGGCACTTGAGCAGCGCGTCCTCGCCCGGGTTCACCTCCGTATACGACGGCAATTCGACGAAACGCTGCACCGCATCTGGAATAGGAATTTTTAAAAACATCTACATAAAATCATATTAAAATTTTCACAAGTAAAATAAAAATAAATTACGTAAATGGCGATTTAAAATTAAATAATGTACTTTAATAATTATAATGAAAGAGAAATGACGTGTAGACAAACGAATTAAATTTAAATTATAAGGGAGTAAAATATAATCCGACTAAATTAAACTGTAGAGTCTAAGACACACGTCATATGCGCATCATCTAGAAACTGAGCCTTTGCATTTGTTGTTTTTTTTTTGATTTTCCAATAGCAAATAAAACAACCTAATAACCGTTGTATACTTTTCTCTAAGTACAATTGCATCAATAAATATTTGTCAAATTTGATAATGATTCATTTAGTAGGTTTGAAAGCGTATATTCACCAATGTTCCTTTGCAAACATATTGCAAAACAATATTACTCAAAGGAAATTGAATCTCCGATTCCGCAGAGGCGGCAGGAATATGCACCATTCGCTTTAATAAGCAGCCGCTATTCTACATTTCTGTGGAACACTGTCGAAAACAAGATATTTACACGGAATGCTTTACGTAGACCTAGAAAGACCCATACAATAAAAGAGGTACATGGTACTAATTTTATAAATACCACAGTTTGATTAATTTATTCTTGTTATCACGTAACTTCAGATTGGATAGACGAATGTGGATGAAATGTTTGGATGGATGGATGTTTGTTTGAAGGTATCTCCAGAGCGGCTTAACCGATCTCAATGAAATTTGGCACACATATAGAACATAGTCTGGAAGATTACACAGGCTACTAGTTATGTTTTTTTTTAATTCCGCGCGTGCGGAGTTCCGAGCGACTGCTAGTCTATCTATATATAAAAGAAAGTAGTTGCACTATTTATAACTCTAGCTTTACCGATATGGTTTAAAATTGGTGAGGAGGTAGCTTAGAGCCGGGAGACGGACATAGGATACTATTTATTCTTTTTATTTTCGAATTTATGCCTTGAAGAGCTGCTTTTTATTTAACTGATCTATATATTGTTTTTTTATATATCCATGCGGACGGAGTCGCGGGCGACAGCTAGTATGCAATAAACTTGAAGAATGCAAAATAAAATAAAAAGTAAAAACGACTTCAAGACGTTTGTGTAAATTTTAAAAGTGTCATGGGTATAAGAAAGTGTCACTCGTGCGTGGGCCGTTAGAGTCGGAGTAAGCGACATTTTTACGAACATACGGGTACATATTTTGTAGAATTCGTATTCAGTGCACGCCGGGTCCGCGTATCGCCAATCGAAGTGAGAAATGAAAGCAACAATTTTCTTTTCCAATTCATATAGACTGCACAATACGAGGATGCAAAACTTTTACTGTTGTGTTACCTATCTTTATGAGATAAAGTTTGTTGTATATGTGCAATACATTTTTGAAATTGTAATGTGAAATTAATTTCCATATGTATACTTAGAATTTTGGAACTTCACAGACTTGAGATATTATTGCAGCAAATGGTAGTTTTATGTTTTTATAAAAAGGAAAGATTTGATTGTATTGAATGGGCTCCGAAACTAATGAACCGATTTAAATTTTTTCACTGTTTGGAAGCTACATTACTTTTTTAATTCCGCGAGAAGTCGCGGGCTACTGTTAGTATTATAAATTGTTATTTTTTGTTTTTATTCATCCCTAGAATAAAATAATTACTTTGCAAATTAATTTCAATAACAATAATGAGCTATAATCTTAGCATAATTTAAATAAAATGATTTTTATAAGATAAATGGCAAAGCAAGAGAAGAAAATTATTTTGGTCGTTAAAATAGGTGATTTAATTCGGAAAGATGTTCAATAAAGCGGAAACCCACGTTTACTCTGTAGCCTGATTATTTGTGATGAAGGGACATATTAGGTTTGTTTAGGAAACGTTAAATAAGGTCACATAAGATTATTTCTGTTTTCTTTGAAAATACATCTTAGTTTTTTTTCTTATAAAAATGACTTTGGCATTTTTTGTACTAAATAGAAAAGACGGAATTATCTCGAAGCTTAATTAAATGATAGAATTTTATCTGAAACTAGCCGTTGCCTGCGACTCCGCGGGAAATTAAATAAAACCTTAATAAGTATCCTATGTGTTCTTCCAGACTATGTTTTAAATGAGTGTCAAATTTCACCGAGATCCGTTGTGTCCTTCCGGAGATACCTTCAAACAAACATCCATCTAAATATTCGCATTTATAATATTAAGTAAGATTACGTTTATCAATCAACAAGAAGTCAAATTAATTTTAAATTAATTTTGAATTAAAATTATATCACAATGACACTGAATATTCAAGTATTTCATTAACTACGCCGGGTAAAAACATCAACCTTATATTCCTGACGTTCCAGCAAACAAGGGCCGTAATTATGTCCCAGTCAATCAACCTTTCGCAACACAAACAATCTACATTACGTAAATACATACCACAATTAAACTGTCAAGGAATTCCGTATATAAAGATAAAAGGTAAAGAAAGGTAAATGTATAAAAAGGTTAAGAAAGGTTTGCGTATAGTTTAAACTGTTCAAAGTTATTTGCATAAGTAGGTGCTCCAATTTTCATTTTTTTTGTGATCGAAAGGTTTTTTATAATGTTTGATTCGTTTTATTATGTTCAGTGTTCATCGTCATTGTAATCAAATGGCCCAATATTTTCTTATATTTTACTCTTTACTAATATTATAAATACGAAAGTTTGTATGGATGGATTGATGGATGTTTGCTACAAGGTAACTCCGGAACGACTCAACGAATCTTGATAACATTTGGTACAGATGTAGACCATAGTCTGGAAGAACACATGGGCTATTATTTTTTTTCTAATTCAGCGGACTCGCGGGCGTCAACTAGTACTTTAATAACTTTACGAAGAAAGTAACCTCTTTTTCGTATTACAAGGTCTCACTAAATATGGATTTAATTATGTTCGTCTTTTTGTTTGAACTTAAACGTTTTGGTATGAGTAATAATTCATATGAAAAATCCTTATATTAAACCAGTCAGTGGAAGTAAAAGGGGCATATTTACGAAGCTCGCAACCTTTTAAAAGTTATTTCATTTCCATGTAAAAAATTATGAATCGTAGTTGCAGGCAGGATTTTGGCAGAGTGCCTGACCTGAGGTTTGTTTTATTAATAATATATAATAGTCCGATTGGATTTAATATTACAAGCTATCGGAACATTTATTGAAATTAATCCATTTAAAAAAACGATAAAACATTTAAAATCAGTAGACGGAAATTTATTTACGTTGTTTAAAAGAGATGTACGAATTGCCAATACATTGAATTTTAAAAACAATCTTTAGTTTGACTATTTTTGTTTAATGTGGAAAAACAAAAAAAGTGACATTTAAAAGGCCAGTACTATTTTTTTATAATAAAAAAGCTACAGTACTTTTTATATCAAAGTAAATATTGGATAAACAGTTTAAAAAGGATTATGTTCAAGAACTTCTTTTACTAGAACTCGAGTGTACCAATATAGTGCGCAATTCGGCAATTCAAACAAATTTAAAAATTATATTTAAAAATATATTCTTTTTAACATTTTAAATAATTGATATAATGGCAAATATATATCTTAACTCTCGCTCATGGCAACTTGAGAGGTTATAAATAATATAAATAGCAAAGTTGTAATTTATCTAAAACTAACTTCTGAGATTCATTTAAGCACTAGAACACAATATTTATTTTGTTGCGTATATTCAAGAACTATTCTATTTGGTAACAAGAAAGCATCGTTGTCGTAATTAACCAAAAGCGTCATTAGTAATGTTTCCATTTTCGATTTCTGTTATCTTTTACTACTTACAAATGTGATCGGAATACATTTGTAATATTTTTAGAAAATTCTTTCTTATATTCTGAACACGACGTCCAACTAACATTACGGAAAAAAGTGTTCAAGTGACATACTTTTATCGTTAGTTTCTGAGACCAAATTCTCTATATTCATATCGTTATCTCTACCATTATCTATGACCAAACAGAGATAACAATGTAAACGGAGATTCTGATCTCAGAAACCTACTGTTAATGATTTAAGATATTTATTTACAATTACCAATAAATCATTTAAATACAACTGATATACGATTGTTCTTATACTATGACGCTTTTTACCACAGCAAAACTTTTCCGCTAAATGGATAGGTTCACACCTAAAAGCGCATTACGAAAATGTTAGCAGTTTTAATACGTAAGCGAGTTTGAAACACCCTCTAGCATTTTACAGGATGTACTTTCGTTAATTAAAATAAATTTAAACACCTCAAATATGAACTAGAAACATTTATTAATTAAAAACCGTGAAACTTTATTACATTTTAAGCGAACCACGAATAGTTATAAAAATCCATTTGCATTTAATAGGGTTTCTTGGTAACAACATTAGGTTTCTGAAGTACGTAATCTAGCTTAACGTTAGCTAATTAAATAAATAACAGTCTTAAAATCCTCGCTAACAGGAAAGCTATTCAAAAACGAGGCTGTAACAGCAATCCATTCGTGGCTGCATGATAATGCACCATAGTAAACTGTAATAGCTATATCAGACTTTATATTCCCATGTTTAAGCTACTTATTTCTCCCCAGCCCACCACCCACTTCCCCATTAACACGAAATTTCCCATATTTTCGGCAAATTCTACTGAATATGATTAAAGTCGGTTTATATTCGGAAACACCCGAACGTTGTATGGAGTTTTAAATTTGTTAAAATATTCATAGTAACACCAACATTCGCTTATCAAATCATCTTAGCAAGCATAAGGTTGTGCAAATTTGATAAGCTTTTATCATAATATGCACACGCGGGGAGAAGTAATTTTGTTTAAGTTATCTGATGATCTTTAAAAGGAATATAACGGAACAGCTTTGTCGACACTTTCTTTTATTACCGTGAAATTCGACTGCATAAAACAATGTTGTCTTTGTTTTATCAAAGAAAATGAGGGGGAC